TCCCTTGATCCATGTTCCTTCTTATGGTGTCTGCAAGTGAAAGAGCAGCAAATTCGGTGGAATGACATTTTCGAAAACCGCATTGAAGTGGACTCAAAATATTATGTTCACGCAGATACTGATAAAGCTGATGATGAACAGCCCGCTCCAGTAATTTTGAGACAGTGGGTAGAATTGAGATGGGACGATAGTTATCCATTTCTACTACCTTGCCCTTCTTAAAGAGAGGAATAACTCTTGCGGACTTGAAATCCAATGGAACACGTCCAGATTTTAAAGAACAATTAATTATCTCTGCCCAGGGTTTAGGCACATTATCAGCAGAACCAATCAAGAGACGAGCAGGAATATTGTCCAGTCCCATCGCTTTTCCTGTTTTCAAACCACGTAATTGAGCTTTGACAAAATCTTCCGAGACTATCAAATTTAAAAGCTGGATGCTGTACAATTATATGATGGATGTTTTGGGACCTAGTTGAAGACGAGGATGCAGATGGTAAGCATTCCAAGAGCCGAGTAGCTGCACCGACGAAAAACTTATTAAATGCTCTTGCAATAGTCTTTCTATCGGTGGTTATTGACTGTCCAGTGTTTATTTTTGGCGAAACAGCTGTTTTCTCGCCATGATCTTTGCCACTGTCTTTAATAAGACGATGATTATATGAAGCTTTGGCTTTCCTTATACTGTTAGAAACTCCATTTCTTCAGCACCGGTAATTAGTCCAGTCCTCAGAGTTTATCGTCTTCCTTGCTTTCTTGAGAAGAAAATGGCGTCGGCGCATGTTGATTTTAATGTTTTTATTTAGCCACGGACACTCGTCTACACCTCGCACACGCTTATGAATGACTGAAGCATGCTTGTCGGCTGCAGATCTTTTAAAATGATTTTAAAATGGTCATATGGTTATATCAGAAGAATAACTAAAAACGAAGCACATGATGTGAGATTTGTCGCTGCCAAATCGAGAGTGGCCCCTCTCAAGGAGCTCAAAATCCCGCGGCTAGAACTACAATCTGCAGTTTTGGCTTCCAGATTTCAAGTCTAAATAAAGGAAGAGTGCCGTTTCCAGTTTGAAGAGACTTTCCTATTTACGGATAGTGCCATAAAGTTAGCGTGGATACGTAGTACGGCCAGACGGTATAAACCATTCGTGTCTAGTAGAGTGGGAGAAATCCAAAGCAACAGTGACCCGGCCCAATGGGAACATTCCTGACGACCAAAACATGGCAGATGATGTTTCACAGGCCATAGCAGTTTAGAATTGTCAGGAAGATGGGTAACAGGACCAGAGTTCTTACGCTTGTCAAAAGAGCAGTGGCCCCAAACCAAACTAGAAGCAAACCTAGAAGAAGATGTAAGAGAGAGTAGGAGAACAAAAGAAGTAGGCGCAGTGGTAGTCACGCCGTGTCATTAACGTCGACGCGTATTCAAATTGGAAGAAGTTATTGCGCGTGATAGCATGGGTGCTCAGAGTGAAGAAAAGATTGCTTGCTAAAGGGAAACAGGAGGAGAATGAAGTCAAGGACTGCTCACAGATCAATGTCGCACAGAAGGGCCTGCATAGTTGCCTTGAGAAAGACGACTTCAAGATGCTGAGTCCTTTCATAGACGATGAGGGTATAATCCGAGTCGGAGGACGTATGGACAAGGCAATTGTGTTTTTCGAAACGACGCATCCTGCCTTGCTACCACATGACCATAAGATATCCCGTCTAATCACACAGGAAGCCCATCAATGTGGACACCCAGGGGTGGCAACAACAGCAGCCAAAACGAGAACAAAGTACTGGATCTTGCAAGTTCATGACCTGGCCAAGACAGTTAAATTCAAGTGTGTCACTTGTAGAGAAATGGAGCCAAAGACAAAAACGTAGATTATGGCTGACTTACCTCATCACAGAACAGCACCAGATAGCCCGTCATTTTATTACACGTCGTGCGATTACTTTGGTCCTCTAACTGTGAAAGTTGGAAGAAATAAAACAACAAGTTAATTTTACTCGCCTGAAGACCAGAATAGTGCATCTTGAAATAGCTACTGACTGCACCACGATGGAGTTCATTCAAACGCTGCGCAGATTCTTTTCCATTAGAGCGTACCCCGCTATGGGGATGAGCAACAATGGAACACAGATGATAGGCGCTCAAAGGGAATCACGCAAGATGATTGAAGGCTGGGACATCGAGAAACTTCGAGAGTACTGTGCTGATAAAGGTATGAAATGGAGATTCACAACCCCGGCAGCCCCACACCAGAATGGTTGCGCCGAAGCACTGGTGAAAAGCTGCAAGATCGGTCCTGAAAAGGCGATGAGAAATCACATCTTCACGCCGTTTGAATTGTACACATGCGTGTGGGAAATCGCTAATTTAGTCAATCAACTTTCAGTTGGTCATTTTCCAAATGATCCGGATGACGGAGCTTATCTGTGCCCTAATGATATGCTGTCGGGCAGAGCGTCCCTACAAGTTCCGCAAGGACCCTTTCGTGAGACTTCAAAAACTCATTAATAATTCATAAGCCCATTAACCTATCAAATGGTAGATAATACATCACGTGCAGTGACTTTATATCGATAAACCTCATCCTTATTAGTATGCGGTGTTTTATCAGATATAAAGACACTGCACGTGACTTATGAATATTAATTAATTATCAACACAGAAACTGACACAACAAATGGTGGGAACATATTTAATGTTCTTTCAACCAATTTCACACAGTAAATTTACTTTTGCACCAAATTAATAGTACAGTTGTGAAGTACACATCTGGAAAAATTCTATATTCCATTAGTACAGTTATCTGGTAAAGGCATATTAGACAATACATCATCTGAAACTTCGAATTCAAGATCAGTTGGCAGAAGTGACTCCAACTCGTTTTCGCTAACCTCTAATGTTTTTCTCGTATGCTAATTTATAATGTTCCCAAAAGCATAATTGTTATGAACTCTCTTGACACACGCTTTTCCAAGAATGTTTTTGAAGCCGTTCAAACTCGCAGCACGTGTTTTATCGGGTCAAAAACCACTCGGCTACGCCTCGTGGTTTTAAACCCGATAAAACACTCCTGCTCGTTTTTTAAACATTACAAGAAACCCCAGGAGGAGAGTTAAATTTGTCAAGAGGATTGTAGATTTTTTTTGTACAGGAGACGTATTTCCGTTATTCGTACCACGTAAGAAGTGGAACACAAGCAGACGTACCATTCTAGTAGATGACTTCGTTATGGTAGCTGAACCAAATACAGTTAGAGGCGAATGGATCATCGGAAGAATAGTAGATGTGTACCCCGGACAGGATGGGACAGTGAGAAACGTGAAAGTAAAGACGCCTTCTGGCGAGTACTCAAAACCAATTACAAAGATTGTAGTGATACAGCCAGCCAAAGGCTTTGACCAGTAAAATGATGAAGAAACATAGTCCTTCATCGGGGCGGAGGAAATGTCACCGTGACAAAACATTGTTAATGATTGACAATGATCGCAAACAATTTGATTGACACTTTTAATTGTTTCGTATATCAGATTCATAAGGTTTCAGTTCAGTTTTTACACGTGTTTCACTTGCCAACCAGTTTTTTAAGTTTTTAAGAGTTATATTAAGACCAGAGTCTAAAGTTAACGGGAAACCGGCTACAGCAGTAAGTCTTAATTAGTTTAGTTTGTACTGTTGGTTCATTACCCACTTTTTATTATCAGTGTTGTAAATACCCCAATTTTTCGTCGTTATATAGCATAATTGTGTTTCAGATCGAATAATTCCTTCAAATAAACTTGATGATTATACGATTGAAGGTTTCCCGGCGCTTCGTATCGTGTCAATTGTCCAACGGTCCATTTCGTTAGAGGGTTAGGTATTAACAAATACCATCTGATGAGATGATTTCCTCTTTGGTGATTGTAATGCAATATAAACAGCTTCTTGTGCACTGATCTTTACATTGTCTAGAAATTTTTTACCTACAGTTCTGACTGATTGCTCAAGAGCAGCATCTTATTTTTCGGCTTCATTAGTAGTATAGTAGTTGTGGGTACAGGCTCAGTTCTTCAAACTGCACCCGAACCACGTAACTACTATTCTTCTGGCTCCATATAATATCCAAAAGTTTTGTAGTTATAGTGTAGCCAAGTTTTGATATGAGATATTGGATGAAGTCAGATTGTGTGAAGTCACATTTTGATGTTGGACATTGGATTAAGTCACATTATGTGAAGTCACGTTTTTGGATATAGTATGTCACCTTCTGGTTATAGCATACTAATTGCAACTTGTATTAAATTGCGCTCAGGTTTTTTTGTGGACATTTAAATTATATAATCCTACGTTATGAAGAATGGTTATGATTATACGGATCCTTTCATTGATAACTCAGAATTGAAAGATGCTGTAATGTTAGACCAATATATGAAGACACAAAACAAGAAGCTTGTGAATTATTTCAAGAAAGTTTAAAAGAATTGAGTAGACTGATTGGAAACTTGGTGAAAAAATTTAAAAAAATACCTCGGTAATAATTATAGAATGGCTTGTGATTTTGAGAAATCATGACGCATTCAGAAATTTAGGAAATGTTGTTTGTTCTCTTTGTGATAAGCAATTACAAGGACAAGTGGTGAAAAATGAACCATGTTATGTGATGATGGAAGAAGAAAATGTTGATGGTGCATATGTTTGTAAGAATTGTGGTAAGGATAATGGGTATGAAGAAGCAATTGAATTTGTTGATTATTATAATAATTGCTTTAGGATTGTACATAAATCAGTCTACCATAGAAGTTTTCATATTGACGATATCCTTACGGATTTGAGTTGCGAATTTAATATAAAAAATTAAAATTAAATCTGTTGACAATAAGAATAAGATAATGAGAATTTTTGGTGAAAAAGAGTTTGTTATTCCTCAAATTTTGGACATTCCAGTAACTACATAAAAAAATCAGATTTTATAAACAATATTAGAATGAAATTAATTCAATAATTGGTGATAGAATAAAGGAGATCATTCAGAGATAAATTTCTGTGAATACTCCTTATCCCATTTTTCAACTAGAGGACACATATTGATGATGACATCATCAAGAACCCTCACCTGAGTTAAATAATCTCGATTGTCATGTGATTTGCCTCATAAAGGATCGCAAATCAACCAGTATTTTTAATATGATATAGAAGCAAAACGACATAGCTTGATTTTTTTCTTTATAATTTTTATTTCACTTTCAGTCTAGCTGTACACCTGATCTGGATATAGTCCCTAATACATTTGGATCGAGTGACACACCACCTGCTATAGTGCCTTATACAACAAGACATGCCGATGATAAGTTACATAATAAATTCAATTGTTTAAAATGTATGCTCTCCTGTATAGCCAAATTTTGTATGATAAAATTGTTGTAAGGATTTGATTTCATCCATCTGATTTTATCAATACTGGGCCGATGGGTAATTGAAGTGCATGGTCGACAAGGCTTGAATTTTCAGTATTTATTAAGTGAATGTAATCTGTGGAAAAGCTGTAAATGTAAAGCTGTGGAAATTGTGAAATCACAAACATTACCTAGAGATCTTTCCATGCAAATGACATATCTGGCAGTAAAACTTACATTCATCTAGCCTTATGAGAACATAGAGTTATAAACTCGCCAGCAATAAAATATCCTTAGGCAAATCCTTGATCCTTAGACAAATCCTTTGTGAAAAAATGCATTAAACATATTTTACTTTCGCTTGGTGCGACACGAGACAAAACTGCTATTACATAATAACGAGACAGTCCATGAGGCCTTGCGGCCCTGAGATTAGTTTTGAGTCCAGTCCGTGCGGTTGAGGTAAAGCAACAAATACTGTTGTCTTTATGATTAAATTAAAAAATCGTTTTAGTTCCTTTCATACATATTTCTTTCGATTATTTTAATTGATCAGTTGAAAAACATAATTTTATAGTTTAATAATAAAAAATGATGAATATGTTCCTCTGTCTAGAATACCAGTGCTCTAAATCTAGTGTTATGGCTCCCTTTGGTCGACAACATGAGACGTAGATAATATCAATCCAACGACCCCATGTATTTTCAAAAGTAACAATTCTTGAAGGGTTTGTGTTATTTTGATTTGTTACCTTGGGATTTAAAGTAGTTGCAGATGACTTGAGGCAGTCTGAAAAAATCTGATAAAAACCTGTTTCTTGAATAATCAATTCACCTCCATTTTTAAACTGAAATGTGATGAATGCGACATTACTGTATTTGCATGGGATAAGTTTCTAAGTTTAACGGATTTTTCATTATTATGCTCAAGATTGTCATTTTATAGTATTTGTTACGATTTGTAATAGTTTAATAGTTTATGTCAATGTCATGTACCTTTTAGACACAGGATTTTGATTGTTGGCAGGATCAACTACATCCATTTTAACCTTCTCATTGAAATTGATGACACCATTCTTAACCGCGTATATCTTATCCTAAACACTTGTTGAGACATCATTGTGATACCCTATAACACCATAAACAACAACAAGTACCTGCAAATCTTGAGAATGCTATGTCGCACATGATGGTCTGCGGTTTTGTTACTATTATGCGCACGCATGCCATGTGCGCCTGTCGTTGAATGTAAACCGTCATGATTGATTTAACCTTGTTGTGTTGTACTTTGTTGATTCGACGAGGATTTAGATCCTACGCAGCAACCAGAGAAACTTCAAGCTTTCGCCACTATGCCGATTGGAAAGATTGAAACGTTTGACGAAACGAACGACGATTGGAACGCCTATGTGGAACGTATAAAGCAATACTTCATCGCCAACGAAATCAAGGACAACAAGCAAGTGGCCGTAATGCTAAGCTTAATGGGAAACAAAATGTATGGATTACTACGCAATTTGGCCGCCCCAGCCAAGCCATCCAGCCTGTCTTTCAAGACTATCGTAGAAACACTACAGAAGCATCTGTCACCGAGACCACTGCTCATAGCAAAATGATTCCGCTTTCACAAAAGGAACCAACTCGAAGGTGAAACCGTAAGTTCTTACCTTGCTGAATTCAAGAAATTGTCGCTGTATTGTGAATTCGGAACTAACTTGAATGACGCGTTAAGAGATAGACTAGTGTGTGGACTACACAATGAACTTATCCAGAAACGGCTACTCTCCGAGCCAGATTTGTCATCGGCCAAAGCGTCAGAAATTGCCTTAGCAATGGAAGCGGCAGCAAAAGGCACACTAGAATTGCAGGGTAACATTAATAAAGAGTCTGAAGTCAACAAAATTAACAAGGATAACGAAAGAGTTCCTAAAGGGAAAGATGATGTCAAATCAAAATCTCAGTGTTATCGATGTGGGGGTAGTACACACGGGTCAGCCGAGTGTTACTTCAGGAATGAAACATGCCGAAAATGCGGGAAATAGTTAATGGCCACACACTGAAGATCGAGCTAGACACAGGTTCAGCGATATCTACACTCCCCTTAGAGACGTATAAGGAAACCTTCCCAAACAGACCTCTGGTTGACACTACCGCTATTTTGAAAACCTACTCAGGAGATATTAATTGATTAGTGAAAAAGCCCTATTCTCTGCTGCGTAATTGGTGTTATCTAATAACAACAACAATAATAATAATAATAATAATAATAATAATAATAATAATAATAGCAGTCTTTATACAAGGGGCTCACGTCACTAGAAAGTCAGGGTCGGCCAGGGGGGGTAGTGGGATACCAATATACCCGAAAAAAAATCGACAAAATACCCCAAAATACCCCAAATTCCTCCAAATATACCCAAAAATAATCGAAGCTTTGAATACTTTATACCCGAAATAAGAAGTTAGCGAAACAAACACTTATTTGGTTGTCTTACCTTTTTTGGCATTCCTTCAAATGGATTGTCATTACTTTCCCACGATAACAGATCACAAGAAAAGGCCACATGTCAGTTTAAATGGAAAGATGGTTGGCTATGGATAGGAATCTTTATCCTCATAGTTCACGATAGTTGGTTTTCATAAAAGTCTTAGTTTAATCCTGCTGAATGGCTTGAAAATGTCAAGAAAGAGGTTGCTATTATTACAGTGAGGGTCTCGATCAATAAACCGTTAATGGGCAAAGTCATTTATC